CAGTGAGATAAGACTTTAACCCTCTTCTCTCCATGGCCATGGTCCGTGGGAATGGCCACAGTAAGAGCACATCCCTGCATTGTCCTCTACCACGCAATACACACACACAACACACACACACACACACACACACACACAACACACACACATACCCTCAGTCGGTAGAAGGACTTTGGTGAAAGGGCAATCTGCTGTCAGGGCCCGTATCCACAAAGTGTCTCAGGGTAGGAGTGGGGATCTAGGATCTGTCCATATAATCTCATTCATTATGACGTAAAAGGCTAAACTGATCGTAGATCAGCACTTACACTGAGAAGCTTTGTGGATACGGGCCCAAGTTTCCACGTTTCAATCACTTCTATTTATCTTGATGAGTGGCAACGTTGATGTTCTCCTCTTCTCTCTCCCTATGTCCCATTATAAAACAAAAATGGAAACATTCTTAACATTCTATTAATTAACCGTGGGAAAACAACTGAGAACAGAGCTGAACAGAACAGAACAGGGCAGGACCCTCAGAATGACACAATGTCTCAAAGTGGACCTTTGATTTCCAGGGAATGAAACACAGTCTCAGAGACAGAAATGGTGTTTATACAATATGGCGGGGCTAAGGCTGACCTCTCCTGCTGCCTGGTTCCTGCTCCTGCCCATGTTGGCAGTCCTGTGCCCAGTCTGTGGCCTACAGATGTAGGATCTTAATTTGAGCCAGTTTGCTACAGCAGGAAAATAATCCTGCAGCAACTGGAAATGTGAATTATTATGTGAATCATAATTAATGGACATTCTTTGTAGGAGCTGATACATTTTTTTGTCAGGGCAAATCAAGTCTGACATTTTAAAGTGGAAATTACAAACTTTAGAAGCCTTTTTAAACCTCGATATACACTGCAAGTTTACATTTCCTGCCGTGCAGGAAGATTCTCGCAACAAAAGAGTGATCAAATTAAGATTCTACATCTGTAGGTCCTAGGCCTCCTTCAGCCACTTATCCCATGTCAGTCCCCATCATTGTGTTTCCATACACAACAGCACAATGGATCATTCTTTTTGGCAGGGCTCTGACACGGCGGATATGTATCCGAGTGGCACCACGGAGGAAACATACATTTTATCGTTTATCTTTGATTGTCACAAGAACACAAACAGTCTCTCAGTTTACGCAGTCTCATTGGATATGTTATTGTGCCATAGGGGGAAAACGAATTCATTTAGTTTCCAAACAACTGACAATTAAGGGTGTGTGTGTGTGTGTGTGTGTGTGTGTGTGTGTGTGTGTGTGTGTGTGTGTGTGTGTGTGTGTGTGTGTGTGTGTGTATGTGTGAGTATGTGTGTGTGATTGTGTGTGTGAGTGTGTGTGTGTGTGTCTGTGAGTATGTGAGTGTGTGTGTGTCTGTGAGTATGTGTGTGTGATTGTGTGTGTGAGTGTGTGTGTGTCTGTGAGTATGTGTGTGTGATTGTGTGTGTGAGTGTGTGTGTGTCTGTGTCTGTCTGTGTTTGTGTATGTGTCTGTGTGGAAAGAAGTGGTCAGTCTTTCTCAAACCCACTCACACATCGTGCCTGGAGATGTGGAAGGCGGCCAAAGCTACAACTTGTCTCACCAGATAAAAACTGGTAAGGTACGACATCTAGTGGTTAGTTTTGTGACTGACAGTGAAAGATTATATGACTATTTACCTTGGTAACCGGGCACATACTGATGATGTCATAGAATAGTTGACGCAATGTTTTGCAGTGTGTACGTAAGTCTCTCATGACACACTGTTAACGTAACTGTCAACTAATTGTGATTAATAAAAAAGTATACCAGTTTCATTTAAGGACCAAAGGATTGACTGCCGTCCCATATAGATTGCAAAATAGTTGGGAAGAGATTTTTGACGTACCGATTCCATGGCATAGTGTTTATGAATTGATACGCAAAACGACGCTGGATTCAAAACTTATAATTTTTCAATTTAAATTATTATACAAAATTCTTGCTACCAATAGATAGCATTGTTGTTCACTAGTTTACTCCAATTAGGGAAGGGGTGGTGGGGTTGGAAAGTAATGAAGGGAAATATAATTTAAAATAGGATATGTGTGTATGTATGTATGTATGTATGTATGTATATATATATATATATATATATATATATATATATATATATATATATATATACATACTGGCACTAATAATAAAACCCTAGCCTGGAATCCAAACGTATATGCATGAAACAGAGCAAGCACCAGGCTAGACCAAGAATGTGGTTATGTAATATGCTTATTGTTGTTGTTGTTGTTGTTGCTGTTGTTGTTGTTTGTGTTTGTTGATTTTCTGTTTCTTGTTGATCACTTTCTCACTGAATTATAATTTTTTTTTTCTCGGAACCCAGGACCAACTGTTGAATGCGCTGGCCAACTACTCGATTTTTATTTTTTAAAATTTGTAGGGGGTAGATCAGCTTTAATATTGCAGATAGATTGTAACTTCCATCAATGTAATTGTCTGCATCACTTCCAATCCCGTATATGTTTTTTATATATATATGTATATATATTTGTGAGAAAAAAAACATATGCGGGATTGGAAGTATGTATATATATTTGTGAGAAAAAAAACATATGCGGGATTGGAAGTGATGCAGACAATTACATTGATGGAAGTTACAATCTATCTGCAATATTAAAGCTGATCTACCCCCTAAACATTTAAAAAAATAAAAATCGAGTAGTTGGCCAGCGCATTCAACAGTTGGTCCTGGGTTCCGAGAAAAAAAAAATTCTAATTCAGTGAGAAAGTGATCAACAAGAAACAGAAAATCAACAAACACAAACAACAACAACAGCAACAACAACAACAACAATAAGCATATTACATAACCACATTCTTGGTCTAGCCTGGAGCTTGCTCTGTTTCATGCATATACGTTTGGATTCCAGGCTAGGGTTTTATTATTAGTGCCAGTCAGTGGAGGCTGGTGGGAGGAGCTATAGGAGGACGGACTCATTGTAATGGCTAGAATGGAAACAATGGAATGGAGTCAAACATGTGATTTCCATACGTTTGATGTGTTTGATACCGTTCCATTTACTCCATTCCAGCCATTACAATGAGACCGTCCTCCTATAGCTCCTCCCACCATCCTCCGCTGGTGCCAGTGGCCTTGGCCTGTGATGAGGAGTGTAGCCCTTCACCCCACCAGCCTGCACATGACTCTGTTTTTCAGCATTACTGGAAGGACTGGGACAGGCAGGTTCAGAGAAGTCTTACATCACCACAACCTCATGCGTTTGTTGTGGTACTCTAGGCATGCTGGCATGGTCAGTTACATGGCTGTTGATATATTCAAACTGTCAATATATGTTTTCTGAGTGTTTTCTGGGGTGAAAAGATGGAAGGATGGATGATCTAGTCATGATTCAAAATCAAATGTTGTGTACTAGAAAGCACCGTTCAGTCATTCCACACAAGATAATAATGAAGGTGTGATATCCGACAGCACCCTCAGGTGAGCTACGATGAAGGCCCCTGGGCTACAGGGGAGCTACGATGAAGGCCCCTGGGCTACAGGTGAGCTACGATGAAGGCCCCTGGGCTACAGGTGAGCTACGATGAAGGCCCCTGGGATACAGGTGAACTACGATGAAGGCCCCTGGGATACAGGTGAGCTACAATGAAGGCCCCTGGGATACAGGTGAGCTACGATGAAGGCCCCTGGGCTACAGGTGAACTAAGCTACAGTACCTGTGAACCAGTGTGGGTCTGTATACTGTGTGTCTTTCCTAAACTACTGACGGTCGGTCCCATCTCCTTCTCTAAGCCAAATTCAGCACGTTGACATGATTACACCCACATGGCTAAAACCTCTCTACACCTCCAACGTGCCACAACCTGACAAAACATCCCTCCACGGTGGAAATGTTTGGGATCCCACCCCTGGAACCAAGCCCATGTGCATGAGTACACCCCTCCTGTGTACAACACCTATTTTGTTGTTGCTGGTTTTCAGAGGGGCACAATGAGTAACATGCTGTTCTGTGTTGTGGTGTGTGATGTGGACAGTATTGCACAAGCTGCTGTGATCGCCCAGGCTGGGTCGACCACGTGCTACTGGGGTGTCGAGGAGGCACATGACTTACTGTTTACAACCCCTAAACTTTCCAGAGTTGTGCAACGCACACGCACACACACACACAAATTACAAACTATGTGGATTCTAGAACTTGGGTTCATTCTATTTCTATGTTATTTACTCTGTCAAATCTGCATTTCTTCTGTCAGCCATGGATTAGATGTACAGTCTCCTAGAGCATCTTCAAGGAAACCAGCATGTTTACAATGTCTCTGTATAACACCAGAATGTGGACATGGTTATGTTATCACTAATCTCAGTTAACCCAGAACTAAAATCTGTCCACGAGAGATGAAGTTATAACATACCTAATGTCTGGCTATGAGAAGGCATATGCATTACGTGTGACCTATATCTGCAGAGGGCGAAAGGGGTCAATCAAAGATGTAAACAGATGTGAATGACCCTAGGCGTGGGTTGTGGTGTTGTGGGTGACGAGACATGTTGTTATTGGCGGGACCATACCCTGTCACAAGTTGTTTGGCCAGTTGTCTATTTGATTTGGCCCCTGCGTCTGGATCTCCCACAGAAGGAGAGAGAGGGGGTGTTGCTAAGTATGGAATGTGCCGGGGTCCGAAGGGATTCATTTTCTCAGAATTGAGCCTTGCAAACAAGCAAAGGGAGGGACCCGTGCCTCAGACGGCGTGGAGGCTCGGGTGTCACAGGCAGCCCAGCAGTATAAATAGTCAGTTGTGGCCGGAGAGTGGCTAGATCAAAATAAACCAAGTGAAGACAGCAGTCACTATACCAGACTGCAATAGAAGGAGAGACAGACACAGAGAAAGAAAGAACCACACAGCCTAAGACGAAGCGCCTAGGCCACCCACTCAGGATTTTAAGGACTTATACCTTGTGAGAACAGAGAAGCCCATCTATCCAGACATGGATATCCAGAGCGGCCAGGTGACGCACCAGCCCAGCCCCAGGGAGAGCCTGGAGAGCCAGCTGAGCTGCCCCATCTGCCTGGAGATGTTCCAGAAGCCTGTGGTCATCCTACCCTGCCAACACAACCTGTGCCGCGGCTGCGCCAGCGACCTCTACGACTCCCGCAACCCCTACCACTACTCTGGGGGCATCTTCCGCTGCCCCACCTGCCGCTTCGAGGTCGTCCTGGACCGCCACGGCGTCTACGGCCTGCAGAGGAACCTGCTGGTGGAGAACATCATCGATATCTACAAGCAGCAGCCGGAGAGCGGCGGCGGAGAAGTAGGAAGTAACGTTTCAGACCCACCGCTGAAGGACAAAGATATCAAGGAGCCCATGTGTACAGAGCACGAGGACGAGCGCATCAATATTTACTGTGTGACCTGCCAGACGCCCACCTGCTCCATGTGCAAAGTGTTCGGCCAGCACAAGGACTGTGAGGTGTCACCCCTGCAGAGCGTCTACGATACCCAGAAGGCCGAGCTGCGGAACGCCGTAGATCTCCTTGCGGCGGGTAACAGCTGCGTCCAGGCCGTGATGGCTCAGATGGACGACACATGCAAGAGCATCGAGGAGAACGGCCAGCTCCAGAAGAGACGTCTGGGGGAGAGTTTCGACTTGCTCTACGCCATCCTGGAGGAACGTAAGGGCCAGCTCCTGGAAAAGATCACCCAGGAGGAGGAGAGTAAGCTGGGGTTGCTGAGGTCCCTGGTGGAGAGGTACACGGAGCAGCTCCAGGCTAGTATCAACCTAAAGGAGAAGGCGGCCCAGACCATGGAGAAGGGCAATGCAGCCGAGTTCCTGATTAGTGGGAAGGAGCTGATCGCACAGGCCAAAGAGGCTGCTAAAGGCTCCAACATAGAGAGGCCCGAGCCTGGGTTCGAGAACATGGAGCACCTCACACTGTGCACAGAAGACGTGGAGGTCATCTTGTACCAAATGGGCTTTGGACTGGGGGATGATGATGATGTGGTGACAGAGGAAGAAGAAGAGGAGGAGGAAGAAGAGGAGGAGGAAGAAGAGGAGGAATAGTAAAAACTCTAACTAAAGACTGAATTATAAGTACTGTATTATTGCAGTTGAGGAGAGGTTTGGGTACTGAGATAAGGATTGGTTTGATGAACAAGCTGCTTTTTAAGAAAGAGTAACTAGTTATTTATTAACTAGTTATAACTAGAATATTCACTGTGGTGAATACACAATTTAGAGTGCAATTCTGAAAAGTAGTTTTTTTCACTAACAAAATGAAACATTTTGTTTGGACTCTTTTTTTTATACTTTTGTATTTCTATATGTTTATACGGTACTGTTTTTGATATCTCCTGAAATGGATATCTCATGGAAATAACTATGTTTACACTTGAATGCTTTTCACATAATGTACATTGTTCAAGTCTAGACTAGATCGAAAAAAGAAAAAAACATATCAAAGCATTATTTATGTTATGTATAATATATCATTGTCTGTCAAACTATTGAAAACTTGAATTGCTGCAAAATGCACTTAATTCACTAGTGTTGTTTTTAACACAACTGTAATATTTCTAATGTCATTGAGAGTTTAAAGAAATAAAGTGTTGCGGAAATACTTTGCTCGTCCTGTCAATGTCCCACACACCTCACTGACGAATAGTGCTTTATTTAGCGCTACACATTTACATGGCTCATGAATTTAGACTATAGCCTTACTTAGTGTTCTTGCTGGTGAAAAATAGGGGCTATTTTTACAGGGCTAGAATGGGAGAGGTGGTGAAGGGCCTTAAAGGTCTGGAATAGATCAGTGTAGCAGGCTGGGTAGAGGAGGGGGGGGGGGTCTCATGTTTCTGTCCCTGACCTAGCCTCTTCTCCACTTGTCTTGACCATTCCAGTTGCTGTCTAACTCTGTCTGGTATGCCTATGGGTCAGAGGTCAAGCCTGATACCATTATCGGACACGAATGGAAAAAAAAGAGGTGGCAGCAGCACTTTACAAAAACGGTCTGCGAGTCGAGACCACTTTGACCGGGGGTTATTTCTGATGGACAACGTAAATGTTAAGCTGGTCACATGGAAGTGATGCAGACAATTACATTGATGGAAGCTACAATCTATCTGCAATATTAAAGCTGATCTACACCCTAAAAAAAGAAAGGAAAGAAAAGGTGGTCACATGAATCCTTTGGTACATGCTATACATGCAATGAAAGTGCATTGAGTCAATAGGAGATTTTTGTGGTTTTGAAGCAATGTAATCCATTATCACTGTGGATCCTCTTCCGCAGATCTTCTATAAACCGATGACTTCAAATGATAGGCTATGTTTAATCCATTCGCCATTCAATACCAATGACCCATTTCTCTACAGTACATTTCCCAGTGTGTGAATAGACTTACAGGTTGTTCCATTTGATTTCAATCACTTTTTGACCACACCCTGTTTGTTTTGAATGTAACTTCCCATACATATTTGCCCATGTTAGAAGTGGTCAGAAATTGACTTTTTGAACCAGAATGCCGAAACATTTAGGAGATAGAGGTGGTCGAAGTTGACTCATTTTGCATACCCCATCATACCATGAGACATCCATGTCTGCATTCTAGAGTATACTGTGTCTCAACCGATGGCTGGAACAACACAAACACCTCAGATGATGTCAAATATGATCTAAGCTACAACATATGCGAAAATGAAAATAATCTGAGTTTACGTGTTTTTAGATAATTGATGTTAAAGGGACATATTTTAAATTTTTATTTAAATTTTAAATTAAAAAAATCAAGAAGATTATAAAATAGTTTGACAACCCTGTTTGTAAGCTTTTAAATTATATTAAACTCAACCGTTTATCTTTTCCAGTGATGAAGACATGGATGTCTCATGGTATGATGAGGTATGCAAAATTGGTCAACTTTGAGCACCTCTCTATCTCCTAAATGTTTTGGCATTCAGGTCCAAAAACTAACTTTCTTACGACGTGCAAATATGTGTAAAAAGTTTTGTTCAACTCAAAAGGGGTGCAGTCAAAAAGTGATTGAAATCAAATGGAACGACCCTTATGTAAGTAGCCTACATCAACAGCAACAGCAGTGAAACTGTGTGGAACCAAAGCCTGTATCACCATCTCTGGTGGAACTAGAGATAGTTTATCTGACATTGGTAGGCCTGTATCTTTATGGGAATGACCTGACTGCCCTCTGCTCTGGAGCCATCCAGCTGACTGCTCTCAGCCTCTCACTGACCACATGGTGCTGGTGAAGTACTGATAAAGACAGTCAACAGGCTGTCAGGCTGCACTCACTGAGAGAGCCCAGAAACCCCACCACCACCACCACCACCACTCACTGTTGTTACTGTACAGTACCAGCCAATGCAGCCAGAGCCCAGAAACCCCACCACCACCACCACTCACTGTTGTTACTGTACAGTACCAGCCAATGCAGACAGAGCCCAGAAACACCACCACCACCACCACCACTCTACTCTACTCTACCGTGCAACTACAGAGCCTGGAGGCACACACTGTTATGTAGGGGAACCAAATCTGGTGTGTGCTGCCGCTGGCTAGCTGTTTAGGTTAAATGTCTGTCACCAGAGACTATGTACCTGTTAGTTCTGTACTAGAACGAGACACACTCCAGGAAAGCTTTCATTTAGTGTGTTTACCATACTGTACTACCGTATTAGATGGTAGGCTACTGTAAAACAACCCACACTGTACTACCGTATTAGATGGTAGGCTACTGTAAAACAACCCATACTGTACTACCTTATTAGACAGTAGGTTACTGTAAAACAACCCATACTATAATGCCGTATTAGACGATAGGTTACTGTAAAACAACCCATACTGTACTACCGTATCAGACGGTAGGCTACTGTAAAACAACCCATACTGTACTACCGTATTAGATGGTAGGCTACTGTAAAACAACCCACACTGTACTACCGTATTAGATGGTAGGCTACTGTAAAACAACCCATACTGTACTACCATATTAGACGGTAGGCTACTGTAAAACAACCCATACTGTACTACCGTATTAGACGGTAGGCTACTGTAAAACAACCCACACTGTACTACCGTATTAGATGGTAGGCTACTGTAAAACAACCCATACTGTACTACCGTATTAGATGGTAGGATACTGTAAAACAACTCATACTGTACTACTGTATTAGATGGTAGGCTACTGTAAAACAACCCATACTGTACTACAGTATTAGATGGTAGGCTACTGTAAAACAACCCATACTGTACTACCTTATTAGACGGTAGGCTACTGTAAAACAACCCATACTGTACTACCGTATTAGATGGTAGGCTACTGTAAAACAACCCATACTGTACTACCGTATTAGATGGTAGGCTACTGTAAAACAACCCATACTGTACTACCGTATTAGATGGTAGGCTACTGTAAAACAACCCACACTGTACTACCGTATTAGACAGTAGGCTACTGTAAAACAACCCACACTGTACTACCATATTAGACAGTAGGTTACTGTAAAACAACCCATACTATAATGCCGTATTGGACGATAGGTTACTGTAAAACAACCCATACTGTACTACCGTATCAGACGGTAGGCTACTGTAAAACAACCCATACTGTACTACCGTATTAGATGGTAGGCTACTGTAAAACAACCCACACTGTACTACCGTATTAGATGGTAGGCTACTGTAAAACAACCCACACTGTACTACCGTATTAGACGGTAGGCTACTGTAAAACAACCCATACTGTACTACCATATTAAACCGTAGGCTACTGTGAAACAAGCTAGACATGACAAAGGCGACAGCTGCGTTTCCTGACGCTGCAAAATAACCTTCACACACCTGTCTCCACGCTTCTACTCTTTAGACTCTTCAGCCCAGACGGAGTGGGAATGTGAACTGACTGTAAGGGATTTAGATCAGTTGTACACCATAACTTGTCAAAGTAGCATTAACATGACTTGAGATGAGAAGTATATTTGAGATGATGGCTGGTGTATTCTTGGCTTCCTGCCAGGTCCAGGTGGTTAGTGATAGACCTACGGAAGCCTGCCAATGTATGCAATACCTATAGCGGTATGAAGCCTATAGGTCTCATATGTCTGGTTTATGTGAGAGTGCATGGCCTGGTGGCTCATGTTACAGACAGTGCATGTGGATGTACAGTGCAGGCCACCACAGGCACCAGACAATGTGGCCCTGTCAATCTCAATCTAATTCAGTGTACAATATGTTTTACATAGGCGACGAATAGTTTTATTGCAGTATCGTCGATTACATTACAATTCTGACCTCTATATTAGTTAGACCTCTGTTTGGCAGGTTGGCCAGATGTCCAGCCCGTTTTACCATTGCAAATCTGTTACAGCTCACCTCAGGTTGGCAAACTTGGCATCAATGACTAGTCATTTCACTAAAGCTCAAGTGAAGTTTGTCCTTGACTCTTACATGTGTACAGTAACTATAGTAACACTGGCCAAACAGCTAACCTTTGCCTTTCATTTCTAACTTTAGACCTTTCTAAAGGTCTGCTCTCTACTGTAACCTAAAAGGGTATTGACTTCCTCCACATTTGGGCTTGATTGGGCTGCAAAGGTGATCAACGTTGTGCTGCAGTGGCCAGCTCTTTCTAAGTGTAGCAGCCAGCAATGCAGCAGTGTTTTACTAAATAAGAGCAGGAACAAAGTAGGAGTGCTGGTTTAGGATCAGTTTGGCCTTTTAGATCATAATGAGTAATATGATATGGACAGAGGGGTCCTGATCCTAGATCAGCACTTCTAAGTGTAGCAGCCATAGCAATGCAGAGTTTTACTAAATAAGAGCAGGACTTCCCCTGGAAGGCTACCAGTGCCTTGCTGGTCGCTAATTTTAGAGCCTTGAATCAGACTGCCCTTAGCCTTGCCTTGCCTCAGTGAAGGACACCTGATGCTTACCCTCTCTGTCCACCATCCTATCACTATCCTCCCCCTCTTAAGCCAGGAATGGGGCCAATGCTTTAGTTAGACGGATGGCTGCAGGGAGTCGGGGACTAAAAGAAGGACCACAGACGTGTATGGACCTTTCAGACCTTCAAGGCTTGTGTTTGGCCCTTGAAACGACAACTACAGTATACTGTCTCAATGACCAAACCTAGCCAGCATGCATGGTTGAGTCCTGTACTGATAAAATAACATACAGAACATTTATATGAAATGCTGTTAAAGGAAATATCCATCGAAAAACTATATTTTGGTATTTTACAGTCCCAACATGTTTTGCATGTCAGCAGACCAGTTTTCAAGATATTGGACTTTCAAGAAGAAAAGTGTCAGTTGCCACATCATCATGATGATGCATTTTGCATCATATGAGGCATTTTGCATCATCATGAAGATGTGGCAAAAGACACTTTGCTATTTGTTGTTGTTGAGTGGAGTTATCCTTTAATTGCTGTTGACATATTTGATTTGTTTCAACACCAGTGGAGGACAGTGATTTCCCCAATGTTGTTAATAAAATGATCTGGCACAACCTGCCCTTGCAGATCAGAAGTTACCAGATAGTAGCCGAGCCACCACCGCTGATACATACAGTAGCTCTGCCTTGTTTCCACCATAGTACTTTGACCTACAGGAAAATAATCCTGCAGCAACAGGACATTTGAATTATGGAAAAGTGAAAATTACTAACTTCAGAATCCTTTTAAAACTTAAAATAAACGACAAGCTTTATATTTCCTGCATTGCAGGAAAGTTATCTTGCAACAGGGTGATCAAATTAAGATCCTACATCTGTATCCTGTCCTTTGAGAGCCACAATGAGTTGCCATCAAATACAGGGGAAAGGTAGCAAGTTTCCAGAATGGAAACTAAGTCTTCCTGACTGGGTTAATGTGTCCTCTTCCCTCTGTGTGGACAGCCAGTGCTATGGAAACTAAGTCTTCCTGACTGGGTTAATGTGCCCTGTTCCCTCTGTGTGGACAGCCAGTGCTATCTTTGTGCTGCTAAGGGCACCTTTCTCCAGCACACTGTCACCAATAGAGGCCTTCATGTTGTTGATGCTCTATTTGATAGTTGCAACTTATCACTGTTCAAAATAGCTTTTCACACCAAGAGTGCAGTGAGAGGTCAGTCACCAATGTGCAGTGAGAGGTAAACATCTGATTATGAATGAGTGAAACTCATGGCTAGAAGTTGAGTGAGTATTATATGAACACAACATGTCAGTGGTCTATATATAAACAGGTAGAATAAATCAGACATTTAATTAAGTGATAATGCCTGAGAAGCCGGTGTTTGGAGGATATATTGGCACGGGTGTTGTTAGGCCAGAGACAAAGTCGGCAAACTGTGTCAATGTATCCTCCAAACACCGGCTTCGAGGGCATTATCACTTTAATACAACGGGTTACCAACATATTCAAATAATGATTGACATATTTTCATAAAAAATGTTATTTTGATGAATTTATTCATATTCACATATTCCTAACACATGCTATTTAAAATAGCTTATGTAATGCCTATTACAGAACTCTTCAGTCTGCTTATTCATTTATCAGGAAAATATTTTGTTTTCTAATATCTGTACTCATATTTACTCTGTTGGGGAAAACATACTTACTGATGTGATGTTATTTTGGTATCTTTTGAGGGCTACTGTCATCCGAGGCCCTTGCATCAGTAATCTATGACTGAATTAAAATGGTAGGCTAGATTTGGGGAGAATACAGTCCATTTTGACCTGTTATTTAGTTGTTAAAACTACTTGGAGTTGGAGGAGGGGTGAGACGCTCGCTCATCCTCTCTCTTCTGTGAGACTCAGAGCATGTGATGAACAACAGACTTCTTCAGGCCATTCGCAAATGTGTTGCCTCAACTCCAGGGAATCAACAACTGACCTCACAGCTGTCTGCTCTGCGCTGGGCGTAAAGGTAATTCATGATATTAATATATGCTAAATCAAAGATGAGAAATAGTTTTTGTAGCCTACACGATGTAATTTAGAAAAGTAAGTACAAGAAAATGTATAAACATTAATTATAAGATCTTTTCAGATGCTGCTTTTTAAATCAATATGGTGCTATATCCTGGTTAACTAGACTGACTGCTGGCTGCACTCACAGTAAAACAATGTTAAAATGAGTGGTCAGTCTAGTTAACGAGGCTAATCTGGTCCACCCTGTGGAATAAGTGGACATTTAGCAGTGGTGTCAATGTTTCCATATGTTGTGTTGGCTTGGGTACATGGTTGATAAACCTTCAGGATTCTCACTAGTTTTGGTTACTTTACAGGGACCATATTCTCACTAGTTTTGGTTACTTTACAGGGACCATATTCTCACTAGTTTTGGTTACTTTACAGGGACCATATTCTCACTAGTTTTGGTTACTTTACAGGGACCATATTCTCACTAGTTTTGGTTACTTTACAGGGACCATATTCTCACTAGTTTTGGTTACTTTACAGGGACCATATTCTCACTAGTTTTGGTTACTTTACAGGGACCATATTCTCACTAGTTTTGGTTACTTTACAGGGACCATCTCTGTGTTGCTGTAGAGTACTGGTTCATATTCTCCACCACCACCATGGACCTGACCACGCTCTCAGACGACGAGGCCAAGCACATCTGGGAGGTCATACAGAGAGACTTCACCCTCAGGAAGAAAGAAGAAGAGAGACTGGGGTGGGTCACTTTTCAATAAGGTTCAATATAATATTTCAGAGGTTTAGTAAGAAAATAATACATTGAATCAACGTTGAAGGGTGGAAGGCTTGGAATGTGTTTTTCAATAGCATATCTGACATAACAAACTCCTTGTCTGTATGTGACATATATAATCATGAGGTCTTACGCTTACAGCATTTAGGACTCTGTAACAATGGATACTTATTGTCTGTCTTTTAGCTGAATGCCAACACTATAGATTCCATACGAGTCAATCACACTGAGGTCCTCCGAGACACCGCTATCTATATTTTAGCCATATGTTTTCCACAGTGTGTGTGCATGTGTGTGCATGTGTGTGTGTGTGTGTTGTGTGTGTGTGTGTCTGTCTGTGTGTCTGTGTGTCTGTTGTGTGTGTGTGTGTGTTCAGGCTTCAGGAATATAAGTGTGAAACAGGCCTGCTGTTGTGAGTCAGCTCATCACAGTGATCATGGCTAAGTCACAAGGCCCATACTGCCTGTACTGTGTCCCAGGGAAAACAAGTTGCCAAGAGGCCTATTCTCTCTGGGACACAAAGACTCCTCTGTCTGTCTTCCTCATCTTCTCATACTCCTAAAGGAAAATAGACTTCCAGTCAGACCTCACTTTATTTTATTCAGAAACTGTCAGAAGGACATTGTGTAAAAGGTTTTGTTCTCTATAAGTTATTTAATGTAGTCCCTGCTGAAACAGACAAAAACAGAACAACAGAATGGTACATTATAAGTGTGATCCTGCACGCATGATTCCACAAAGCCAACCTTAAGGTGATTTATTATAATCCATGGAGTTAACAGGGACTTAATGTTATCTTCTTAATGCTATCTACTAATCTACTGCATACTGATTTCATCACTTCTCTATGCTCTCCCCTCCTTCTCCTTCTCCTTCTCCTCTCCTCTCCTCTCCTCTCCTCTCCTCTCCTCTCCTCTCCTCTCCTCTCCTCTCCTCTCCTCTCCTCTCCTCTCCTCTCCTCTCCTCTCCTCTCCTCTCCTCTCCTCTCCTCTCCTCTCCTCTCCTCTCCTCTCCTCTCCTCTAGGGATCTAAAGACTAAGATAGAGAAGGAGGACACTAAGATTGAGCTGCTGGGGACTCAGACCACCCTGGTAGACTCTCACTGTATCCGCTGTCTGCAGCCCTTCAAGTTCCTGGTCAACAGTAAGCGTCAGTGCATAGACTGCAAGATGTACACCTGTAAGGCATGCAGCCGCTACAACAAGAAGGATCACGGCTGGGTGTGCGACCCCTGCCGGATGACAAGGTGGGGCCCGTGGGTGTCAAGGTCTCCTGAATACACAGTGTTAACAGATTCTCCTGAACACACACTGTAGTAATAACAGATGGGTTTGGAAGCATTGGCAATCGTGTTTGACTGACCAGGTCTTAAACCCAGATCGTCTGTATCATTATGAAGCTTCAGGCAGGTAGAGAAGAGGGCCAACTCTTATAAGGCTAGTAATAGTATGTAGTTAGAGAAGAGGGCCAACTAGGGCCTCCCGAGTGGCGCAGCGGTCTAAGGCACTGCATTACAGTACTTGAGGCGTCACTACAGACCCGGGTTCGATCCCAGGCTGTGTCACAGCCGACCGGGAGACCCATGAGGCGGCGCACAATTGGCCCAGCGTCATCCGGGTTAGGGGAGGGTTTGGCCGGCCGGGATTTCCTTGTCCCATCGCGCACAAGCGACTCCTTGTGGCGGGCCGGGCGCCTGCAAGCTGACTTTGGTCGCCAGCTGGACGGTGTTTCCTCCAGCACATTGGTGCAGCTGGCTTCCGCGTTAAGCGAGCAGTGTGTCAAGAAGCAGTGCGGGATGGCGAGGAGGACGCATGGCTCTCGTCCTTCGCCTCTCCCAAGTCCGTAAGACTGTAACTACCAATTGGATATCATGTAAAAGTACGAAACATATATATATGACTACATAACAGTATGTAGTCAGAGAAGAGGGCCAAGAGTTCTGTTCAAGTCACATGGTACGGACACCAGCTCTATGGGGTTCATATACATTCCACTGATGATGGGGTCCATATTGAGACTAGAGTGATTCTTGTGTTTACCTCGCAGGGTCCTGAAAATCGGAACGGTGGGATGGTACCATGACAACGTGCGCACCCGTTTCAAGCGCTTCGGCAGTGCCAAGGTGATGAAGTCTCTTTACAAGCGACTCAATGGAGAGGGTGGGTTCTTTTTGTTTGATTATTGATTCATTGTGCATACTTCTAAATGTAAGCGCATGTTACAGTTGTGGTTGTTGTTGAGACATGTGTCCAAGTGTCACATTTTGGTCACCAGATGATCAGGAGTGTGTCACATGGCTGGCTTTAATGAAGAGTCACATCGTAGGGCCTGTAATCCCACCGGGGTGACATGCCCACGCTATGATGACATATGGTCACCAGTGGCGGCTGGTGGGAGGAGCTATAGAAGTACGTGCTCATTGTAATGGCGGGAATGGAATGAATGGAATGGTATCAAAAACATCAAACATATGGAAACCACTCGTTTGACTCGGTTCCATTGATTCCATTCCAGCCATTACAATGAGCCTGTCCTCCTATAGCTCCTCCCACCAGCCTCCACTAATGGTCACATGTAGTGTTCTAGAACTGAGAACAGTGTTCTAGAACTGAGTGGCTGTTGTATGTTCTGTATTCTAACAGTCCTCTTGACCCAGTGATCATTTGAAGTGTATATGTTATCAGTAACAGTATATCACTACTCTTTGTCTCCACAGGCACCCGTTGTGATAGTGATACACAAAGCATGCCCGACTTCCGCAGTAAGTAGAATAAATGAAGGCAATGGGAAAAAACTAACACATATTTTAACATACCTGAAAGCTGTGTAACCCTGTGTCACATTTACATACCATAATAGTAGAGTTGATAACACCAGCATAAGCACTATGATATGCAAATGTAACACAAGGTTACACAATTTGGAGAAAAAAAAGGTTTGTGACCCCTTCCTCTCCCTCTCACCCCTTTAGATGATAGGTACAACGGTCATGATGAGGACTATGCAGAAGCAGAAGCGCAGCGATACAAAATGGTAAACCATTTTTCCTCTCCATATCGTTCTAGAGAAACTAGACATAATATCCCAGACTCACTATTTCTCTTTGTGTCTCCATCCTGTTGTTTTTTCAGATGCGCAAGAACAAGCGCCTGCTCTCTGTTCATCCCATGGACTTGGATGTGGATATAGAAGAGTATTTTCCACCCCACTCTCACACTCACTCTCGTCGACAATCCTTCCAGGTAGACGGACAAAACAGTCTTGGTTTCTACTAGCCAAAAGTAGTGCATTGTGGGAATGGGGGGTTATTTGAGATTGTGATTGTTATGTCACCTCTCTACAGCAGATCCAGGAGGAGCGAGGCGGTGGCCACCGGGGTGACATGGAGTACATGGACATGCAGCAACAACAACACCGCATGAACCGTAGGAAGAGCCTGGATAGGTACAACATGCGCCATGGTAAGCAACACGCAACACGCAACACACTCGCACACACAGAGACATTCAATCAGACCTTGTTAGTTTGCAATGTACTGTCGTGGTCAAAAGTTTTGAGAATGACACAAGTATTGGTCTTCACAAAGTTTGCTGCTTCAGTGTTTTTAGATATTTTTGTCAGATGTTACTATGGTATACTGAAGTATAATTACAAGCATTCCTTAAGTGTCGAAGGCTTTTATTGACAATTACATTAAGTTTATGCAAAGAGTCAATATTTGCAGTGTTGACCCTTCTTTTTCAAGACCTCTGCAATCCGCCCTGGCATGCTGTCAATTAACTTCTGGGCCACATCCTGACTGATGGCAGCCCATTCTTGCATAATCAATGCTTGGAGTTTGTCAGAATTTGTGGGTTTTTGTTTGTCCACCCGCCTCTTGAGAATTGACCATAAGTTCTCAATGGGATTAAGGTCTGGGGAGTTTCCTGGCCATGGACCCAAAATGTCGATGTTTTGTTCCCCGAGCCACTTAGTTATCACTTTTGCCTTATGGCAAGGTGCTCCATCATTGCTGGAAAAGGCATTGTTCGTCACCAAACTGTTCTTGGATGGTTGGGAGAAGTTGCTCTCGGAGGATGTGTTGGTACCATTCTTTATTCATGGCTGTTTTCTTAGGCAAAATTGTGAGTGAGAAGCAATCCCACACGTGAATGGTCTCAGGATGCTGTCCTGTTGGCATGACACAGGACTGATGGTAGCACTCACCTTGTCTTCTCCGGACAAGCTTTTTTCCGGATGCCCCAAACAATCGGAAAGGGGATTCATCAGAGAAAATGACTTTACCCCAGTCCTCAGCAGTACAATCCCTGTACCTTTTGCAGAATATCAGTCTGTCCCTGATGTTTTTCCTGGAGAGAAGTGGCTTCCTCGCTGCCCTTCTTGACACCAGGCCATCCTCCAAAAGTCTTCGCCTCACTGTGCGTGCAGATGCACTCACACCTGCCTGCTGCCATTCCTGAGCAAGCTCTGCACTCCTTGCAGGTAACCATGGTTAACAGAGGAAGAACAATGATTTCAAGCACCACCCTCCTTTTAAAGCTTCCAGTCTGTTATTCTAACTCAATCAGCATGACAGAGTGTTCTCCAGCCGTGTCCTTGTCAACACTCTCACCTGTGTTAACGAGAGAATCACTGACATGATGTAAGCTGGTCCTTTTGTGGCAGGGCTGAAATGCAGTGGAAATGTTTTTTGGGGATTAAGTTCATTTTCATGGCAAATAGGGACTTTGCAATTAATTGCAATTCATCTGATCACTCTTCATAACATTCTGGAGTATATGCAAATTGCCATCATAAAAACTGAGGCAGCAGACTTTGTGAAAATTAATATTTGTGTCATTCTCAGAACTTTTGACCACGACTGTAATGGCATTAAAATATTACAACAACAGTAATCTCACACCAAACTGACATTTGCTAATATAACCTGAGTCAAAGCATTGGTCCTCAGACGATGGACAGTATGGGATGGTGCGTGCCCGCTCCCTGTCCAAGATCAGCTCCTCTATGAACCGCCAGCACTATGTGGACACGTCAGAAGAGGAGGAGGGAGGGCGCAACACCATGTACCAGACCCCCCATCGCCGACGCCCTTCCCACGGCCAAGTTGGCTCTCACGAGAACCTGCAGGTCCCCCCACAGCCACCGGTAGGGGACGTGTGTACGACAAGTGTGTGTGAGAATGGTATTTGTGTGTGTGTGTGTGACGTGTGTGTGAGTGAGTGTTCGTGTGTGTGAGAAAGTGTGTAGAGAGAGAAAAGAAAGAGAGAAAGATAAAAAAGAGAGAAATATAAAGAGAGAGTGAGAAATAGAGCTGAAACAGAGATGAGAGAGATGATGTCCCTCTACACTATTAAACTACCCTGACCATAGAAAATGACCCACGTTAACTAACAAACAAGGGTGGACTTGTCCTTCCTCTCAAGCCTGGGAAGATGGATTTCAAACAGTGTTGGGCTGCATTACATTGTACATGTATTTATTGGAAGTTGATCTTGTGTCTCAAGTGATGCATGCTGGGTTTTTTAGTGGATTGAACTTTAGAGAGCAGAACAGAGACGTTGTTTCTTGATTTGGATAATTAATTAATAGGGTGTAATCAGCTGCTCTGCTCAGTCAATGATTACAACGTCTATTTTGAGTGATTACTCCATGCAAGTCTGGTCTAATACTATCTCCAACCTTGTTTCAGGTTTGCCTCTCCATTCATTCACAATGTACGTTTGTATTGGTCTCACCTCACTCCTCTCCTGTCATTATGATGCAGATCAATGCGCTAAACAAGCGCATGTCAGCCATAGAGAGTCTCCTCAACCGGCTGGAGTCCAAGATGACCGTACCCCCCGACGATGAGGTAAGAAAGGGTTAAAAACCTTCCTACTGCTCTCCTAACAGAGCATTATCTTTCTTGGAATAATCATAGAGAGAATTACAGGGGTTAATCAAAGGGTAGCTTGTTAGCCAACTCTGGCCTAAACCTGTTGTTGCCCACCTTGAGTTGGGCTCATTTCTATTGCAACTCCTCCGAGTTGAATTTGTTGAATCTCTCCATAAGACATAAGCCATTCAACTCCTTAACATTCAAGTCTTAAACTGACGGGAATCTAGATGGAACTGACACCAACCCTGTTTCTGTCCACCTGGAATAAAGTCAAGAAAACTACCCAGAACAGGATTCACTGGAGATGGACTGTTGATGCTCGAGGTTCCACTAGCTGCAAAAAAGAAAAAAGTCAAGTAAGTAAATCCTGTTTCTATCCACAGGCGACGTCCCCGACCGCTGCACAGATAGAGGAGGAGAAGCTGAGGAGGAAGCTGAGCGAGCTGGCGGGGAACATCAGTGTTCCCTCCTCCGACGAGGAAGCAGGGGGAGGGGGGAAGAAGAACCCTTTATTAAAGAGGGCCGCTGTGAAGAGTACACCCCCAGTCCTCCCCCTGGAGCCCCTCAGCTCCTCCAGCGATGAGGGTCCCACTGAGGCTCAACAGGTGAGATTTGGGGGTCCTGTTACCCTGTTACATCTCAGACACACACCAAAAAGCTGTAGCGGAGGTGATGGGATCCAACCAATGATGTGTATAAACCCTAGATTGCTGATGCTATGTAATGGCCAATGAGAGGCTTTGAAGACCACCTGCTGCCATATTGGCACTCCCCAGTAGGAGCAGTCCTCCATAGGAATTAATGGAATGCTACAGTATTTCAATTAAATGTTTCAAGGACAAAATTACATGTATTTAGGTATTTCTTTGTTGTAGTGGGGACAGTATCATTAGTACAAAAAAATTTTTTTATACTTTCAGGAATATCTTTTGTATTTTTATGTTCAGTTCACATCATATAATTTAAAAGTATACATTAAAGCAGGGTTCTTCAATTCCGGTCCTGGAGGGCCGAAACACCTCTGTTTTTCATCCTCTCCTTCTAATCAGGGGCTAATTCAGACCTGGGACACCAGGTGAGTGCAATTAACTACCAGGTAGAAATAAAAAACAGAAGTGTTTCGGCCCTCCAGGACCGGAATTGAAGAACCCTGCATTAAAGTGTCTGTAATAAAGGCAGGAGGAGTACCAAAATGGCTGTACTGTGGCTTCAAAACAACAACCCCTGTCAGTCATCTAGGGTTTACATCATTGGATCCGACCAGGGACCTCTCGCACGCAGAGTCAACGTCTTTAAAAAAAATCACTAACACCCTATAGCCTTTCATTGCAGCAACACTCACACTTGTCTTTTCTCACGAGCACTTCAGCACTTTGCTGATAGCTGCTTTATTGAGGAAAGGTTTTACTTACTATGACTGTGATATGAGGTTGCACCAACTGTAAGTCCCTCTGGATAAGAGTATCTGCTAAATGACTACAATGTAAATGTCTTAACCATTAGACCAAGACATAATCCTTGTGGTCTCAGGGTGACATTTGGGCTAACAAGTCTCAGGCAGGGCTACCTCATCACGAAAGTGTGATTCCAAATCACCTCCGCTACATATAGGAGAGATAGGTACTTTCCCACCGGCTAATTTCTGTTCCCTTACATGGCTTTCAGAGATCCACTGCGGCAGCCCTCTGTGACATCACCAAAGAGTTTCTAAGAACCATTAATGCCACTGAAAGCGCAATGAACGAGTACCGCCCCTCAGTACCGTCTAATGACAGCCCCATGTTAATTGACAAGGCTGACATAAGGCAAGCAGCTGAGTCTTACAGAGAACTTGAGGAAAATGTAAGCTTAAAAATCACACTCCTCTTTTCCTCCAAAGCAATCATAATCCAATCAAAATAGCTGTGTGTCAAGTGTAGGGCCGAAGCTATGCCTGCCTTTTTTTTTTTTAAGCATGCAAGACTTCTTGTGTTGTCTTAAAGCAGAGATTCGCTTTGTCTTCCAAGCAGTCTAGTCTGGAATCTGTTAGCTTGCTAATGGTGTTTGGTTGACAGCTCAACTGTAAAGGGTGCATTTGTCCTGTGGTTGTCCTGTGCCCTGTTACAGGTGTACATGACCTCAGGGAAGTCTTTTGACCTGGAGAAGAAGCTGAGGCATCTGGAGCAGAGTGCCAAGAACCGCTTCGGAGGGGCCACGGACTCGGAGCTCTCTGAACTGGAGGATGTGGTGGCTCTGACTGCACATCGGGTCCAGAGCACTGAGAGTGAGGTGGGTGACGAGGCTCTACTGAGCAGGCTTCTACACAACAGGGATGTGCTGTAGGGACTAAAAAAAGCACACCGCAAACTGTAGTTATCCAAGAAACATTGTAGCCTACAGGAACTGAATCAAGAAATAACAATAAAACACTGGAGCACATTTTGTTGATATATCTATTATTTTCAGATAACTTGTTTTCCTTCAGAAGGGTATCATTTGTACTTTGTGTCTTTTCATTCATTCTCTCTTAGGTGTCTGATTTGGAGAACAAGCTTGCTGCTCTAAGTGCCTCAGGGAAGAAAAAGGTGAGTATTTTGTGCTATTCACTATTTCTCTTCAGACCCGCTTGGGCTTGCATTGATGCTTATTGTTGTCCTATGCTGTTCTCTAAAACCTCTATTCTATCTGACAGATATCAGGTTCGCAGAACAGGAAAAGGTTTAACCAAGACTTCCCCACAAGTAAGGCCCAAAAGCATATTGTAATGCCCCTAATACGTTGTCGTTCAGTCCTGACCAACTGTATTTATGACAATCTCCTCTTGTTTCCACGTTCAGAAACCAGCAATGGCTCAGGATCCCTACGGAAATCAAATCACATGTAAAGGACTGTGTGACGAATAACCCAATGATACTGTATGTATTAACTTAGTTACTTAAATCTACCTTAAACCTTATCTGTCACTGATCCACTGTATATCTGATGCCACTCTCATATCCACATTGCTACAGTATGTTAATGGTATTCCACACCCACAATGCACAGCAGCAATGTAATGTAAAAGCAGGATACACAATAACTATGTTAAATGCAAAAACAACCCTGGTTTACAGCCTGAAAATCATATGCAATCTAATGTATCCTCTCAGTCTCAGTGTATCTCATCTCTAAACTCATGAAAAGATCTGATGTGATTGGTCAAAAGGGCAATTTGTGGAAAAAAATATCAGAATTGGTCTTCCTGTCTGAACACAGCCTAAGTGTCCTGATTTAAAAAATGAATCTTTGTGCCATATAGGCTACGTTCAAGCAGAGGCCAAAATTGACTTTTTGTGTTAAAATGGAGTTTGATTAGTGAACACTGGTAAAGTGGTAGTTACTGAACACAATCATTACCTAGTCTAATAATTACCTTTTGGGTTCTATGGGACTCTGAGAAACAAGCACCACGACATCACCAATTGTGTTAAATTCAAATCACAGAGTGTCTGTTGCATAAAGTCTAACTGTAAGTCGCTCTGGATAAGAGCGTCTGCTAAATGACTAAAATGTAAATGTAAATGTAAAGTCTTAGTAAATATCTTTCCGAAAAAGAACAGTGAAATGATGCCTTAACACTGAACAGACAAGTATGATATGAAATAAGTTATCGCTCTAGTCTGGATAATAATAGTTTTCAAGGCAATTATAAATATTGCAGTAGGATGAATATATATATACAGTGGGGGAAAAAAGTATTTAGTCAGCCACCAATTGTGCAAGTTCTCCCACTTAAAAAGATGAGAGAAGCCTGTAATTTTCATCATAGGTACACGTCAACTATGACAGACAAATTGAGGAAAAGAAATCCAGAAAATCACATTGTAGGATTTTTTATGAATTTATTTGCAAATTATGGTGGAAAATAAGTATTTGGTCAATAACAAAAGTTTCTCAATATTTTGTTATATACCCTTTGTTGGCAATGACACAGGTCAAAGTTTTCTGTAAGTCTTCACAAGGTTTTCACACACTGTTGCTGGTATTTTGGCCCATTCCTCCATGCATATCTCCTCTAGAGCAGTGATGTTTTGGGGCTGTCGCTGGGCAACAGACTTTCAACTCCCTCCAAAGATTTTCTATGGGGTTGAGATCTGGAGACTGGCTAGGCCACTCCAGGACCTTGAAATGCTTCTTACGAAGCCACTCCTTTGTTGCCCGGGCGGTGTGTTTGGGATCATTGTCATGCTGAAAGACCCAGCCACGTTTCATCTTCAATGCCCTTGCTGATGGAAGGAGGTTTTCACTCAAAATCTCACGATACATGGCCCCATTCATTCTTTCCTTTACACGGATCAGTCGTCCTGGTCCCTTTGCAGAAAAACAGCCCCAAAGCATGATGTTTCCACCCCTATGCTTCACAGTAGGTATGGTGTTCTTTGGATGCAACTCAGCATTCTTTGTCCTCCAAACACGACGAGTTGAGTTTTTACCAAAAAGTTATATTTTGGTTTCATCTGACCATATGACATTCTCCCAATCCTCTTCTGGATCATCCAAATGCTCTCTAGCAAACTTCAGACGGGCCTGGACATGTACTGGCTTAAGCAGGGGGACACGTCTGGCACTGCAGGATTTGAGTCCCTGGCGGCGTAGTGTGTTACTGATGGTAGGCTTTGTTACTTTGGTCCCAGCTCTCTGCAGGTCATTCACTAGGTCCCCCCTTGTGGTTCTGGGATTTTTGCTCACCGTTCTTGTGATCATTTTGACCCCACGGGTGAGATCTTGCGTGGAGCCCCAGATCGAGGGAGATTATCAGTGGTCTTGTATGTCTTCCATTTCCTAATAATTGCTTCCACAGTTGATTTCTTCAAACCAAGCTGCTTACCTATTGCAGATTCAGTCTTCCCAGCCTGGTGCAGGTCTACAATTTTGTTTCTGGTGTCCTTTGACAGCTCTTTGGTCTTGGCCATAGTGGAGTTTGGAGTGTGACTGTTTGAGGTTGTGGACAGGTGTCTTTTATACTGATACAAGTTCAAACAGGTGCCATTAATACAGGTAACGAGTGGAGGACAGAGGGGCCTCTTAAAGAATAAGTTATAGGTCTGTGAGAGCCATATATACTGTATCATTTGAAAAGCAGTAGTGCGTTATGCTGTCATTGGGCTTCTGCATCTAATAAATTGTATCACATCAACTGTTGAGTGTTTCTATTCTGAGGGTATCTTAACATACGCTGAAGGTAAGAAGGCCTGCTATGCCGATCCCATATTGGTAGAGTGATTGCAGGCAGACACCTGCTGCCACAGCATTTTCATGTTCATATTACTTAACATTATTGCTTAGCCAATCATGGTGGTCTTGAGATCCTGTTAGCATTCTCAACCATCGATGTTGAAAACATTGTATTTAACATACCGTGGCAAAGCGTTGCCAAGGAATTTCATTGATGTTCAACCAAGTCTATGTTCAAGATGTCAATTGTTATTCTGGTGAATGAGCGCACTTGACATAATGATCACAGAGTATTGCAATAATTTAAAAAAATACAAATTGTAGGACAAACACATGTACTTTTACAATCTCGATTAAACTGTAATAACATATCAATGACACTAGAAAACATCAATTAAACTGTAATAACATATCAATGACACTAGAAAACATCAATTAAACTGTAATAGCATATCAATTACAGTAGAAAACAATCATTCAGGGCAAGTCTGGTATCTGTCCCCACTAGAGGAAGTGATTGCACTAGAAAACATCAATTAAACTGTAATAACATATAAATTACACTAGCAAACAATCATTCAGGGCAAGTCTGCATCTGTCCCCACTAGAGGAAGTGATTGCACTAGAAAACATCAATTAAACTGTAATAACATATCAATTACACTAGAAAACATCAATTAAACTGTAATAACATATCAATTACACTAGAAGCATCAATTAAACTGTAATAACATATCAATTACACTAGAAAAACATCAATTAAAACTGTAATAGCATATCAATTACAGTAGAAAACATCAATTAAACTGTAATAACATATCAATTACACTAGAAAACATCAATTAAACTGTAATAACATATCAATTACACTAGAAAACATCAATTAAACTGTAATAGCATATCAATTACAGTAGAAAACATCAATTAAACTGTAATAACATATCAATTACACTAGAAAACATCAATTAAACTGTAATAACATATCAATGACACTAGAAAACATCAATTAAACTGTAATAACATATCAATTACACTAGAAAACATCAATTAAACTGTAATAACATATCAATGACACTAGAAAGCATCAATTAAACTGTAATAACATATCAATTACACTAGAAAACATCAATTAAACTGTAATAGCATATCAATTACAGTAGAAAACAATCATTCAGGGCAAGTCTGGTATCTGTCCCCACTAGAGGAAGTGATTGCACTAGAAAACATCAATTAAACTGTAATAACATATAAATTACACTAGAAAACAATCATTCAGGGCAAGTCTGTTATCTGTCCCCACTAGAGGAAGTGATTGCAGCAGTAGCTCTGGATTAGCACTGAACTCTCATGTATAATTGTCGGTAATGTCTACACCTGTTGTATTCGGCGCATGTGGCAAATAAAATGTGATTTTATTTTATTTGATTAAACAGAAGGCTTTATCTTTCTCTACTAGAGGGAGTGATTGCAGCAGTGGCTCTGGATTGGCACTGAACTCTCATGTATAAACAGAAGGCTTTATCTTTCTCCACTGGAGGGAGTGATTGCTCAGCAGTAGCTATGGATTGTCACTGAGCTCTCAGACATAAACAGAAGGCTTTATCTGTCCCCACTAGAGGGAGTGATTGCAGCAGTGGCTCTGGATTGGCACTGAACTCTCATGTATAACAGAAGGCTTTATCTTTCTCCACTAGAGGGAGTGATTGCTCAGCAGTAGCTATGGATTGTCACTGAGCTCTCAGACATAAACAGAAGGCTTTCATCTAGTTTACTGACTAGACATGAGGTCAGAGTTACAGATTAAAATGGTTGTCTGATATTATAATTTAGGCCTGAATCAGAAATGCACCTACACAAAGGAATAAGACAGACGCACAGCTATTCAGATAATTGCCAAAGAGACCTAGGATTAGTCTATGTCACAATGTTGACATGGCAAGTGAGATTTATTTGGTTAAACTCAAATTCAGTGCTGGCCTGCCTACTCAAACAGTAGTAAGCTAATAGCTTATCTGTTTGCATCGAGACTATTGGAGACGTCTAAAGACCATGTCAATTGACAGGCCTGCTTCTTGCATTACAGGGTCATTCCATTAGGGTTATTAGGCTACAGAATATTTGTCAAGACATCACCCCTTTCTCAAACTATACGATACATTCTGAACGAAAACACCACGAAGGAACTGTTTTGACAATTCTATGACCAGTAAAATTCGACCGTTTTGAGGACACCCATCCCGTCCATAATGCGGCCACTATCTATCTGCAGAAAGCTCGAGGCTCTGCCCCGGAACCTGTATTCGTCCTGCTGTGGGCATGATCCGAGATTGCGCTGCAATAAAACTTTTGTCCATCTGCTTTGACATCTCGTCGACTCCCGCGTCCTACTAAAGCAAATAACGAGGACATAATTAAATCGCTATTAGGCCTACCGACAGAATAATTATTTATCATGCTCGCATGTGTTCTTGTTTTAGTATTCCATACCGAAGCTTAAAATGTATCTATATGATGACAATGGCGGACGATTAGCTAGATGACAATTTGTTTTCAAAGGAACCCGAAGAGGTAGCTATACTATGCGTGTTTTGACACATCAAAGCGACGCGTGTGATATTAGTTGTTTATCAGCATCAGGAACCAAGGAATAGTGTTACATTTGAAGGCGGTTACATTGAAATAATGTATCAGAATGGCATCACGTCTCGTGCCTGGGAAGCGAATTGATGATGGATTGTTATTACATTGTAGCTACCCGGTTGTAAATAGTTTAATTCTTTTCGCGTGTTATTGGTGAGCTATTTTTCCATTACGTGGAGATGGTGATTACATTTTTCCAACGTGCGCTTCATCGTCATCATTCGGCTTATGTGTTCCATTTTTGAATTTCTTTGAGGCTGACACGTATGCTACAGGAAGACTTTATCACAAAATACACAAACATGGGAACTCAGATGAATGGTACTGGAAGAAAAAGAATCCCCAACA